CCAATCTGAACCATGTTAGGGCACGTAAGGCGCTGCCCTAATCCCCAACTCCGAAATCCTCAGCCCTAAGCCTAAACCCAAGTACAGATGCAACTGGGTTGTAGGTATCACGAAACCTCCAAGTTGTCCCTCACGCCCCCTGGGGCCTTGAGGGGTTTAAGCCGGATGCGAACCAGCCTCCGCAGAAGCGGCGAAGGGCGCTGCGATGCCACCCCGACAGTCCTAAACCCGAAACCCTAAACCCCAAACCCTAAACTCCAAACCCTAAACCCTAAACCCTAAACCCTAAACCCTAAACCCTAAACCCTAAACCCTAAACCCTAAAGGATGATAAGGCTTACGGCTTCTAGTTTTAGGACTTTGAAAGCCTGCTCTCCCCTGCGCAAAAATGGCAGGCTACGGGACAAGCTCAACTCGCTGGTGATCGCGCAGCAAGCGCGGATAGAACAGATTGGACTCTCGGGTGCAAGGACTTCCGAAGTTTGTGGTCTAGGGTTCCCTAAACCCGAAACCCCAAACCCCAAACCCCAAACCCCAAACCCCAAACCCCAAACCCCAAACCCCCCCAAACCCCAAACCCCAAACCCCAAACCCCAAACCCCAAACCCCAAACCCCAAACCCCAAACCCCAAACCCCAAACCCCAAACCCCAAACCCCAAACCCCAAACCCCAAACCCCAAACCCAACTTCTGCCAGGACTCAGAGTGGGAACTTGCTTCCCTTTTTTCAAGTTTGGGTTTTAGGGCTTGAGGCCCGTTCTTCCTAGGTTTCTCTGGGATCTAGGCTTAGCTTGGGGTTTTTTGGGAGTGTCTTTCCCGAACTCTGTGCTTGACTTCAAGGCTACAGGTAGTGGTATTCCTAAACCCTTGGTCATGAGCGCCTGTAGTAGTCGGATTGTAGTCGCAAACAAAGTTCGTACGGGGATTTCTGAAAATCGGGGTGCCCTTTCTCGGTGGTTCCTATGATATGGATTCCAGCATTTTCTTGGGGGGGGGGGGGGGGGGGGAAATGAAAAACGGGGGTCCCCGGTTGAGAGCTACCTGTATGGGAGGGGGTGTTGGCGAATTCGGTTCTCATGAGGCTCCGTAAGGACTCAGTATGGCCTACCTAACAAGCCCAATTAAGCCTTGAATCAACCCTCAGCCCGCGAAAACCCTAAACCCTAAACCCTAACATCCCTCAGCCAACGAGGGGATTTGGGTCTTTATGCCCCGTTTCCTTATGAGGTTCTGAAAGTTGAAAGTCAGGGGGAGCTTCGAGACTTCGGCTTGTGCGTGTTTTCATCCCTGAAGTAGCCGAAACCCTAACCCTAAACCCCAAACCCTAAACCCTCAACTGGGGGGGGGGGGGGGGGGGGGCGTTCAGATAGGGTTTAGGGTTTAGGGTTTAGGGTTTAGGGTTTAGGGTTTAGGGATTAAGGGCTTAGAGGTTGTTCTAAGTTTGAGCTCGGGTTCCTTGCGGGGGCACAATTCACTCCGGAATCCAAGCAAAAGGCAACTTTAGGGTTTAGGGTTTAGGGTTAGGGTTTAGGGTTTAGGGTTTAGGGTTTAGGGTTTAGGGTTTAGGGTTTAGGGTTTAGGGTTTAGGGTTTAGGGTTTAGGGTTTAGGGTTTAGGGTTTAGGGTTTAGGGTTTAGGGTTAGTTTAGGGTTTAGGGTTTAGGGTTTAGGGTTTAGGGTTTAGGGTTTAGGGTTTAGGGTTTAGGGTTTAGGGTTTAGGGTTTAGGGTTTAGGGTTCACGGTCGCCTCATGGCAGACCATAGGTTCAATAAGTTCACCGGTATTTCGTCGAAAGAAATGTTTGTCGAGTCTCTTAGATTTCTGGTTGTTTTTGGCGGATCCCTCTTTTGGTACGGCGGGTCATATACTACCGGCACTCTATGGATCATGAGACGTTCACATATTTTAGGCATCTCCCTAGGACCCAAGAGGCTACACAGCTGTGGGCAAAAAAAGCATAAAAGCCCTAACAACCCTAAGAAACGATCCTTTAAAAAACCTAAAACCCCAAAAGCCACTTCCAACCCAAAAAACCCAAGAAACCCCAAAACCCTCAGAAAAGCACATGAAGCGACCCCTTAAGGGGCTTGGGGGGCTTAGAGGGGCTTGGTGGGGCTTAGGCTAGGGGGCTTGCGGGGCTGAGGGCCCTAAACCCTGGACCCTAAACCCTAAACCCTAAACCCTAAACCCTAAACCCTAAACCCTTAGATGGGCTGGGAAGCACAAGGCGAACACCTCGATCGGCTGCTCCCGGAGCCAGCGCCCGCGGCCCCTTGGGTTTAGGGTTTAGGGCTTGGGGTTTAGGGTTTAGGGCTTCAGGGCTTTTGGGGTTGAGGGTTTCAGGGCTTTTGGGGTTTAGGGTTTAGGGTTTCCGGGCTTTTGGGGCTTTTTTTTGGGCTTAGGGCTTCAGAGCTTTTAGGGTTTAGGGCTTCAGGGCTTTTGGGGCTTTTAGGTGGGGGGGGATTAGAAGGTTTAGCGAATAGGGTTTTGGGGGGGTTTAGAAGTTTAGGGTTTCTTGGCTTTAGGAGGTTAGGGTTTGTTGGGGTTTTTAAGTTTAGGGGTTTTGGGGTGTACAAGTTTAGGGTTTTTTGCATAGAAGATTAGGGTTTGAAGTTATAGCTGTGCTTATAAGCCCACTTATTAGCCCCTTAGTTAAGTGTCCTAATACGGTTATAATCGGGTTATATGTACAGTTATCAGTGGGATAATAGGGTTTTAGGGGTCAGGGTTTAGGGTTTAGGGTTTAGGGTTTAGGGCTTAGGGTTTAGGGTTTAGGGTTTAGAGTTTAGGGTTTAGGGTTTAGGGTTTAGGGTTTAGGGTTTAGGGTTTAGGGTTTAGGAGCCACAGCCAAGGGCAACGCCTCCGCAACGGCCGAGGGCAACGCCACTGCTGCCACCAACTCACCAAACCGCAGCATGCAGGCCGAGGGTTGATAGGGTTTAGGGTTTAGGGTTTGGGGTTTAGGGTTTAGGGTTGAGGGTTGAGGGTTGAGGGTTGAGGGTTGAGGGTTGAGGGTTGAGGGTTGAGGGTTGAGGGTTGAGGGTTGAGGGTTGACGGTTCAGGGCCCAGTAGTATAATCCTTTGTCATGAAAAAAAGGGTACCCCGATTCTCGGAAACCCTCGGAAAACACGCCCTAAACCCTAAACCCCAAACCCCAAACCCCAAACCCCAAACCCCAAACCCCAAACCCCAAACCCCAACCCCCAAACCCTAAACCCTAAACCCCAAACCCCAAACCCTAAACCCCGTACCTGAAACCGCAGGACGTCGAGGGCCTGAAGTTTGCCGTCAAGTTCGCCACTTTGCTCACGGCCGCAGTGGCCGAGCGTCAGAAGGAGGCAGGAAGTCTTCGAGTTTAGGGTTTAGGGTTTAGGGGTTTAGGGTTTAGGGTTTCGGGTTTAGGGCTACGCTTTAATTCCCACGATGTTGAGTAGCCCTCAAAGCTGTTAGGACTTCGGGCGTTGATCTTTTTTTTCGGGGTCAGATGATGATGGGATACCAGGAGAAACCCCCAGAAGGGATCCTTCATGACCCAAATATGTATTCATAATTCTCAACATCAAGAGATGTGTAAAAATGTATGTGTGTAAATTAGCCTCCCTCTAAGGAACCCTGACCCCTTCACCCTAAACCCTAAACCCTTGACTCTAAACCCTAAACCCTGAACTTCAGTTGGGGGAAGACTCCCTTCCTGAAGTTGGCTGGGTGTCAGGTGGTCATGATGCTCAACAAGGTCTTCAACTGCCTGGCGCCAAGACGTCTGCTTGGCCCCTAAAGCCTAAACCCTAAACCCCAACCCCTAACCCCTAACCCCCCTAACCCCTAATCCTCCGAAGAACGGCTAAGCCACACGAAGTCCCCCGATCCTCCAAGCACCTAGGCTCACCTTAAAGCTGGGACGTGGGTTTAGGGTTTAGGGTTTGGGGTTTGAAGTTTGGGGTTCAGGGTTGGGGTTTAGGGCTCAGGGTTTAGGGTTGGGGTTCAGGGTTTGGGGTTCAGGGTTTGGGGTTCAGGGTTTGGGGTTCAGGGTTCAGGGTTCAGGGTTCAGGGTTCAGGGTTTAGGGTTTAGGGTTTGGGGTTTGGGGTTTGGAGTTTGGGGTTCAGAGTTCAGGGTTCAGGGTTCAGGGTTCAGGGTTCAGGGTTTAGGGTTTAGGGTTTAGGGTTTAGGGTTAGGCTTAAGGGTTAGGCACGCTTACTAGGTAAGTTAACCCCAATTAGGGTCCCGTTTGGGGTGCTTCTCTACTTTGTACGTCATTGCTACGTCCCCCGATCCGCCAAGTAGGTTCTTTTAGGTAGGTTTCAGGGCCTGAACCCTAAACCCTAAACCCTAAACCCTAAACCCCATTAGGGCCTCTGACATGCCCCTAAGCGATTCAAGCCCCCCTGCTTCACCTGGGAGCCCTACCCGATGGCCGCGAAACTCAGAAGCCGAGGTCCCCGAAACTCTATTCTGCGAACAGTTCTTAGTAGGGATTGTATATAGAGGGGGGGGGGGGGGTGGTACTGCAATCCCTATTCCGTTAGTACACGGGGGAACATGCCAACTCTAAACCCTCAACCCTAACCCCACCCCAGAACCAAAAAAAGACACCAAGAAGACGACGCCTTAGGGCTCAGGAGGTGCACCTTTTTGACAGGCCCCTTTGCAATGCCTTTGAGCTTTTGCTGGTATGAGCCGGAACAGGGGTAGGTTTTAACAATCCCCTATATAGTCCTCACAAAGCCATCACTTCGTGTGATGAATGATTTTCGTAACTTTCGTGTTGGTTACATGGGAAGTACCGGAAATGAGGGACCCCAAATATAGATCCCCAAATAGGACCCCAAAAAGCTACCATCTTGGTCACAGCCAGTCAACGCTATGAATTGGGGTCCTTGAAGCCCCCAAACCCTGAATCCCTAACATTTCGTTACCCTAAACCCTAAGCCTTAGCAGGAAACCTTACAGTTTACTGCACAGGGCTTTAGGAGCCGACGGCTATAGCTTGTACAGGCTTCCCAATGGTGTTTGCCGACATTTTCGGCGGCGGGCTGCTGAGGGTGCTCAACAGTGCGCACACATCCATCCGTAAACCTGCCCGAAGACGGGGCACCGCGTGCCGTGCAAACAGAAAGGTTGCAGAGGCTGTGGCATTGCTGTTGCGCGCATCCCCGACTGACGTCGGGACCCTGGCATCGTTCTCGGCTGGCGCTTCTCACACTTGTGCCTTGCAGGCAGATGGACGCCCTGTTTGCTTTGGACCCATTGATGGCGCGGACAAAGCGCCAAACTCGACCTGTCTTTCCATATCTTCAGGCCATTACCATGCCTGTGCCGTAACATCTGAGCTGCTGCTATATTGCTTCGGTGAGAACTGGGCAGGACAGTGTGAGGTGCCCGCAGGTTTGGGACCAGTGCTGACTGCCTCTGGAGGCCTCCACCATACATGCGCGGTGAAGGTGGATGGCCAGTTGGTTTGCTTCGGAGGTAATGAGAGAGGCGAGTGCAATGTGCCCCCCGATCTGCACTCAGTTGGGACCGTTTCTGCTGGTGGCCAGCACACCTGCGCGCTGAAGACTGATGGCCGGCTTGTTTGCTTTGGTTCCAACAACGTTGGCCAGTGCGATGTTCCAGCAGACATCGGGCCGGTTCTGGCGGTCTCCGCGGGCAACCACCACACATGTGCCATCAATGTCGGTGGCCACCTGGTGTGTTTCGGATGGAACAGCCGCGGCCAGTGCGACGTGCCGGAGGACCTGCAGGCCGTCGTGGCCGTATCCGCAGGTGCTGTTCACACCTGTGCTGTGAGGTCCGATGGGCAGCTGCTGTGTTTCGGAGCGAATCATGCGGGCCAGTGCGACGTTCCGGCAGATTTGGGGCCCGTCGTCGCAGTTTCCGCAGGAAGCGCCCACACCTGCGTGTTGAGGAGAGATGGCAGATTGGTATGCTTCGGGTTGAACCAGACGGGCCAGTGCAATGTTGGTGGACCCAAAACTCCGTAGGCCCTACATGCCAGGCTGTTTCTAACTCATGGCCCCCTTACGCACATCCGTTTTATGTCACGGAGGAGGCTCCCTAGAAACAAGTCCCCTTCCCTAACAACAAACAAGCAAGCACCTGGTCTCCCCCAAGTGCAGCCAGAAACATGGTCTGATGGTGTTCTCAGCTGAGCTATGACCCATCTGTGGAGATGTGAAAAGACAGCTCAAATCGATGTCAATCCGGGCGGCCATCAGAACCCCTCCAAGCCCACTCGAAACAACCTCAACCCCCACACACTGGAAAAAAGTTCCCTAAAATCCCAAAACCTTAACCCAAAACCCCAGAACCCTAAAACCCCCAAACCGTACAACCCTAGAACACTCCACCCGACAAGCCCTACTCCCCGGAAAAAGTTCTCAACTCCATCCCGAAGACCCTGAAATGTCTCTACGCAAATGGTCGAAGCGCCCCAAAAATCTCAGCAGGGTTTAGGGGCTTCAGGGTTCGGATTTTAGGATTAAGGGTTTCGGGTTTTAGGGTTCAGGGTTTTTGGGTGTTTAGGGTTTAGGGTTTTAGGGTTTGGGTGTTTAGAGTTTAGGGTTGTCTAGGTTTTTTGGGGTTGAAGGTCAAGGGCCACGGTCCTCCTCATCATAGGACGACCCTTAAATTTCCCCAGGCCCACAAATCTAAGGCCCGAAGGTGTCAAGGAAAAGTTGGTTACCCCATGCCTATGACCCCCAAGCATGAACCTTAGTGCCTGACTGCTTAGGGTCTAGGGCTGTAGGGTTTTAGGGTTTAGGGTTCAGGGTGCTGGGTCTCGGCTTTCATTGTTGGGGGGTCCTTTCTTAGGGATTAGGATGGTGTTTTGGGCCTAGAGTCAGATGTCCTTAGCATCAACCGCCCACCCACACCGCGCATTATCAACATGCGCCCAGACTGACTGTAGTGATACAAGCATGCGAAAACACAGAACCCTCCTAAACAGTCATGTTGGCAAGTACTTCTCATTCTCTTTTTAGGGCCCCTTCGAAGATGAAGAAGGGCCGCACCTTTTTGCTTCTTGTAGGGTTTTTTCAGGGGAGGGGGCTTCATGGGGGGGGGGGGCTAGGTACCTAAAGAACCTTAGTGAAGCCTCCCTCAAGAACCCTATAATCTTCTTGGGCCGCACAGCTGCCCCAAACCCTAAACCCCAAACCCCAAACCCTCAACTCTAAGCCCTAAACCCTAAACCCTGAACCCTGAACCCTGAACCCTGAACCCTGAACCCTGAACCCTGAACCCTGAACCCTGAACCCTAAACCCTAAACCCTAAACCCTAAACCCTAAACCCTAAACCCTAAACCAGCCACTTCTTTGAGGCATCGATGTGGTGGCCCGTCCCGAGGATCGCTGCAGAAATATACATTATTGTTGGGAGGGTGGGGGGGTTTAGGGTTTAGGGTTTAGGGTTTAGGGTTTAGGGCTCTTAAGGGAGGGGCAGTCAAGCGGGTTATACATCTCAAGGTTCCCTAAACTCCCTGCCTACTGCCTAGGCTCCCTAAGCTTCCCCAATTCTCCCTAGGTACCTGCCCCCATCCCTTAAGGACCCTATAAGTCTCAAACATGGCCCCCTTTTTGGGGTAAGCTAAATAGCAGGGCTCCATATCATAGACGGAACCCCAAGAGGGGCCATACTTTTGGGAACATCCCTTATGAAGTAGGGCCCCTAAGCCCGAAACCCTAAACCGCAGCTCACTCTAAGCCCTTCCTGGAGTCTATGTACTTGGAACCTCCTGGCGCTTAGCGTACTCCATTCTCAGGCCCGGAAACTTCAGGTGGCGGCCCATGTGCAGTGCTTCAAGGTTTAGGGTTTAGGGTTTAGGGTTTAGGGTTTAGAGTCTAGGGTTTAGGGTTTAGGGTTTAGGGTTTAGGGTTTAGGGTTTAGGGTTTAGGGTTTAGGGTTTAGGGTTTAGGGTTTAGGGTTTAGGGTTTAGGGTTTAGGGTTTAGGGTTCAGAGTCGACCAGGAGCTCCCGGACGCTGCCTTCGATCAGTGGGCGCAGGAGCCACAACCAAGCTAGCAGGGCAAAGGTTTCAGGCTTGCTGCTTTCCTGGCAAGTACACCCGAAACCCTAAACCCGAAACCGTAAACCCTAAACCCTAAACCCTAAACCTCATTTTGGGAGGGGCTCCCTTTGCATGCGGGGGTGAGGGAGGGGGGGGGGCTCTTCTACAACAGACTTTGCTAAGGGGGTACTGCTTAGGTTTAGGGTTGAGGGTTTAGGGTCTAGGGTTTTGGCTAAACCCTAAACCCTAAACCCGAAACCCTGATTTTTGCGAGGGGCTTAGGGTTTTGGCGCAGGGTTTGGAGCTTTTTGGTTCCTAGAGTTTAGTCGGGTTGAGGATTGAGGGTTCAGGGTCCGGGGTTTAGATGTTGAAGTGTGTTTTTTCGGCTTTGGGCTTTCCATTCCTAGTACACGATGGCGCAATTCAACGGTTAAGACCTCAGGTGTAGATACTTCGTTTCCAGGGTTTTGCCTGAAAATGCTGGCACGGGATTCCGTTCCCGAAGTTACCTTCGAAAAAGAAGGGGGGGGGGGGGGGGAAGAACTCCTTAAAACTCAGCACGCTCCCTCAACCCTAAACCCAAACTCCTAAGCCCTAAGCCCTCACCCCCTAGGCCCATTCCTAGAGAGGAAGGGGAGTCTCTAAATTTCGGCACGCTTCCCTCAACTCCACCAGTGAACCCACGAAGTTGGTGAGCTGGTGGTGTTTAAGGTTTTTACAAGGGTTTAAAAGAGCTCAAAGGGCTTTGAAGGGTTTAGGATTTAGGGTTTGGGGTTTGGTGTCTAGGGTTTAGGGTTTAGGTTAGGGGATCGGGGTTCGTTCATTCGCTCGGACAAGTAGCGCTTGGCGTAGTGCCTTTCATTCCCCTTGCCACCATTTGCCTAAGAACCCCCCAAAACACAAAAAACAAAAACGAAAACGATCCCTATACTGCCCTTTTAACGAAGAATGCTAGTTTTTTGGGGGGTTCTTAAGCAATTAGCAATGTTGTATCCTGATTAGTGTGCTCCCCCGGAATTGTGAAAAAAATCCAAAAACTATTCGGGGGGTCTATTTGAGGAGGTCCCCCGGAATTGTGAGAAAAAATCGGGCGATGCAAAATTTCGGCGAGGCTGTTGTCTAGAAATCGCTTCTGAACTGAGCCTGAGAGACCAAAGTTCAAAGGTTTAAAGCCTGAAGCCTTGAGGCCTGAGGTTGTCGGGCCCTGAAATCTTCAGTCTCCAGGCCAGCCCCAAAACTAAGCTTTCCTTATTAAATTCTTTTGTACCGAGGCCGGGCAATCAAATTTCAAAGGGGGGTAGTCGGGTAGTCCAGCAGCTGCCCGAATGCCGTTTTATATAAAAAGTTTGTTCCCCCGGAATTACATGTTTTTTTTGCGGGCTGGCTTGGTTGGGATAGATGGATCCCCTTTAAATTCATATTATAAACTCATCCCTTTTAAATCATGTGGATCCCTTTTGACATCATATAGTCCCTTTTAAATTCACATCAGCTCATCCCTCTTACAATCGTATGGATCCCTTTTAATTTCATACAGTCTCACCCCTTTTGAAATCATATGGATTTCCTTCTTAATTCATACGAGCTCATCCCTTTTTAGAATCATATGGATCCCTTTTGAGTTCATACGAGCTCATCCCTTTTCAAATCATATGGATCCCTTTGAATTCATATAAACTCATCCCTTTTGGAATCGTGCAAAGCCAGACCCCCTCCCCCCCAAATTGCCCCCCCGACCCACTCTAAAGAGCGGAGTCCATTTGTTGGGGGAGGGGGGGGGGGGGGGCACGCTAATCAAGACAACAGTAGTTTGTTCGGGCTTAGGACCACTACTCGACCCCGTTACATGAAGCGAGGGCGCGCTCGTCTTCTGACGTTACTAGTCGAGCCGACTTCGACACTTTTGGCAGGTCTTAAAAAGTCCCTGTTTTTGGTAAGTTGCCCCTAAATAAGCCCGAAAGAACCCCGTTTAGGGTTTCAGGTTCAAGGTGGGAGGGGTTTTGGGTTTAGGGCTTGGAAGGCTTTGAGGGCCTCAAGGCTAAGACAGTTCCTAGGGATTTTATGGCTAATTGCTTCTCGTTTGAGGTGTAGCATCTTAAGGCTTAAAGTCCCACAGAAGCCCTCCAATAAACTTAAGCCAAACACTAGACCCCAAACCTGCAACATCAACTCCTGTACCGCACACAGGGGCATTCCGGGTTTAGGGTTTAGGGACCTGTATGGGGGGGTTGCAAAAAGAAAGGTACAATGCCGAGAGTTGGGCATTTGCAAAGCCAAGCATCCTGAAGGCGAAAGCCGTTAGGGTTGCCGGGGGGGGTTAGGGTTTAGGATAGCTGGGGGCCTGCGACCTTCAACGGACTAAAGGAGGGAACCCTAAGCTAGACCCTTAACCCTAAACCCTAAACCCTAAACCCTAATCCGTCCGCGAGGATGAAACCTCCAGCTACCGCGCCACTCGCCTGCAGAAAACTTTACACCCTAAACCCTAAACCCTAAACCCTAAACCCTAAACCCTGAACCCTGAACCCTGAACCCTAAACCCTAAACCCTAAACCTAGAGGGTTTCAGTAGTTGGGGTCTGGGGAGACTTCAGTGTGAGGCGTACCAAGCAAACTCACAGACGCTAAATTCCAAAACCCGGCTCAAATTCTCTCAGACGCTGCCCTCGAGCTGCAGCTTTCTCAGCCCCAAACAGCTAGGGTTTAGAGTTTCGGGTTTAGGGTTCAAGGTTTAGGGTTAAGGGTTTAGGGTTCAGGGTTCCCCAGCCTATCCCAGGCCCCGAAACCTCAGGAATCTGACCCCAGCGGCCCCAGCAAGCTTCGGGTGCAGGTGGAGGATGTCCGGAAGCGTCTCTCCTACAACGGCATCTCTTCCGCCGCTGGCCTTCACCCGCTTGGGCTTGCAGGGTCTTGGGGTTAAGAATCTGGGGTTCAGGGTTTAGGGATTGGGGTTGAGGGTTTTGGGGTTATTATCCATCAAAAAGGGGGGTTCAGGGATGAGGGTTTAGGGTCTTGGGGTTAGTATTCATCACAAAGTCTCAAATCTGGGTGAGTGAGTCACATGGGCTCTTATGAGACTGCAAGACCCGAGACTCTAAAGCCTATAAAGCCTACAAACCATCATTCACATCGCACCCGCAAACCCTAAATCCAAAACCCTAAACCCTGAACCCGAAACCCTAAACCCTAAACCACTTTGTCTAACGCTTATATATATATATATATGTATATGTATATTCACTTGTTTTTATCTCTTTTTCCCCTCTTTGGGGGGGGGGGGGGGGGGGGGGGGGAGCGGGGGAAGGCATGACGGCTTCGGTGGCATTTAGGGTTTAGGGTTTAGGGTTTAGGGTTTAGGGTTTAGAGTTAAAGGCAGGGTTCAGGGTTCTAAGGCTTTAGGGCTTCAGGGACTTAGAGTATCAGGGTTTGCAGGCTTCTGGGTTCAGCTGTTCAGGGGTTGTGAGGTTTTGGGAGCAGATTGAAGTCTTCAGGGCTTGTAGTTTTTTGTGTAGGGTTTAGGTGGCGGCGTTTTTTGGGTTGCAAAGTGGGGTGTTTTTCTTGAGACAGCGATCTTTCCCATGTTCGCGTTTTGGGAACCTATAAACCCTATAAACCCTATAAACCCTATAAACCCTAAAAACCCTATTACCCCTATAAACCCTATAAACCCTGGACCCCAAACCGCAAACCCCAAAAACCCCAAACCCCAAGAACGCCAAACCGGGGCTGGGCCCTGTGTCTCCTCTTTTTGCGTTCTTGGCTTCCCTTTTTTTAAGGCCACCCTCAGGGTAGAGAGAGGGCTTTAGGAGAGTTTCGGGTTTACGGGCTTAGGGTTTAGGGTTTGAGTTTAGGGTGTAGGGTTTTGGGTTTTTGGGTTGCGGGGTTTAAGGTACATGTTGCCGTGGTTGTTAAGCTTTCGGGGCAATGCTATACTTCTGGGGCTTCCTTGCAGAGGGGCCTGTGCGAAAAGTACGGCTGCTTTATCTCTTCCGCCGCTTCGTATTCCTTTGGACGAAGAGGGGCGATGCCCAAAAGGAACAAAGCTGAACCCTAATTCCCGAATGGCAACGGGGGCTTGGCTCAAGGAATCTGCGGCAATCGAGGTCATTTGAACTTACGTCCCTGTAAGCCATTCTCAGGTTCTTAAGGGAGGCTTCATGGGCATTAGGTACGAAGAAAGCCTTAGGCAATCTTAGGGAGCCTTAGGGGGTCGTGGGGACTAATCATTGGGGAAGCCTGGGTTACATACCCCCCTTGAACCCCCGCTCCCTTAAGAACTCTATGAACTCCCAGTAAATCCCCCAAATCCACCAGAACCGCTCATCCCCAAAAGGGGCCATGTCTGCCAATATCTTCGTGAATCTTTGCTTAGAACACCCCCACCACCCTAGGGCTTAGGGTTTAAGGTTTAGGGTTTAGGGTTTCATGTTACAAACCCTAAGCCCCCCTAATCTTTGCTCAGCCCCACAAAAAGCCATGGCTGCAGCGGGCACGGGCTCGGCAGCCGAAGTGCTCTTCAGCTACTCCGCGGGTACTGGAGACCGCCTTGTGGAGCTGAAGCGCCCCGCCTTCAAGGGCGACGAGGACATCGGCCGCTACTTGGGGTTGCCCAGTGTGGTGCCCTTTTAAAAAGCCCTTGTTTTTTTTGAGGGGGGTTCTAGGTTCCCTGAATGAAGCAGCCAACCGCAAAAAGGGATACTATTTTTTTGGTTGGGTTCTAGGTTCCCTTAAAGCCAACCCCAAAAAGGGGTACCCTTTGTTGCTGGGCCTACCAAGGCTATGTGAGCTGGTTCAGGGTGGCTCTGCTGCAAGCCCTGCACGCCCGGAACACCGAACCTTGAAACACGCCCAGGTTTGGGAGTTCGTGGGTGTTTACTTGAAAGAACTCTTGACTTAGTAAGTAGGCTTAGTAAGGTGGGTTATGGGGAAGATATGAGGGTTTCTAGTGGATACTAAGTAGACGTACTATGTCAAAAAAAGAGCTTCCAAGCAGGGTTTTTGAGTACGCTGCCTGGGAAATGTCACTCCCAAACCTGGCCGGTTTCCGGGTCTGCTTGGAGGTTCATGGGACTCATTTAACTCAGTTATAACTGCACTTCTAACCCAATCCCATATTAGGGCACTTAAGGGACTTAGCAGTGGGCTATAAGTACATATCAGTGGGTTATAAGTACAAGTATTACTGGGCGGATCACAACGGACAGGCTTAGGGGGTGGGGGGGGGGGGGGGGGGGGCCTGGCGAAGCGCTTGAACTCCCTCGTGATCCCTGAAACACGATAACGCCCTAAACCCGAAACTTGGGATCCTTTTTTCTAACAGGCCGCAAAAGTAGGGATGATAATGGGAGGGGGGAGAGGGGGGGGACTATAATCCCTATTCAGGACTGTTAGAATAAGGGGGAAGTTCCCAACCCAAACCCCAAACCCTAAACCAAAGACCCCGATTCCGATCAGGTGAACCCCCACTCCGCAGTGGAGCGCCTGGCCTTCGTGAGCTGGGAGCGGCCGGAGGGACAGCCCGAGGTGACTTTGGGGGGAGGGGGGGGGGGGGGGGTTTAGGGTTTAGGGTTTAGGGTTTAGGGTTTAGGGTTTAGGGTTTAGGGTTTAGGGGTTTTGGGCTCTAGGGCTTGAGCCTCATAGCTTTAGAGGTTGAGGGCTCCAGGGTGTAGGGCTTTAGCTTTAGAGCTTTTGGGGCCTTCGGCCTTTAGGTCTTTTAGGTCTTTTAGGGCTTAGGGCTTAGGGTTTAGGGTTTAGGGTTTAGGGTTTAGGGTTTAGGGTTTAGGGTTTAGGGTTAGCACGGTTTTGGGTTTCGGGCTTCGGGTTGTTCAAGAAAGGTGGCTTTTTGGAATGTGTTTCTGTGCTCGGCACGTAGCTTGAAGAATCCGAGGCTCGGAACTCTGAAACCTCAAACCCCCAAGGCCCCCAAACCCCCTAGACCCTAAACCCTAAACCCGAAACCCTAAACCCTAAACCCTAAACCCTAAGGAAACCCGGGAGGGTTTAGGATTCAGGGGCGGCTTCGACCTCGCCCCGAACCCACTGCCTCTTGCATCCTTTCTATGTAGGGTTTTGGGTTTCGGGTTTTGGGGTTCAGGGTTCAGGGTTCAGGGTTCAGGGTTCAGGGTTCAGGGTTTAGGGTTTAGGGTTTAGGGTTTAGGGTTTAGGGTTTAGGGTTTAGGGTTTAGGGTTTAGGGTTTAGGGTTTGGGGTTTGGGGTTTGGGGTGGATCCCAAGAAGCGACCCTTAATGCTACCGCCCCACAAATGACCCTTCCATGCACCGTACATCCTTCCCCTTGCTTCCAACATCCTGGGTTTTTTTTGTAAACCTAAACTTCCTATGCTCGACAGCGGGAGATGCCAATGACTGCCTAAGCCCTCGACCCTAAATAAACCCTAAACCCTACCTGAACCCTACGCCCTAAACCCGAAACCCTAGGCCCTAACCCCTAAACTCTAAACCCTAACCCCAGACCCTATACCCTTGCGAGGTGCGCACCTTCGGACAAGGCGTCCTGACTTCGCAGACAGCTGGCGGCGCCTTCCACACTTCCGCAGGGGACGAAATCGCGCTCACGCTGGAGGCAGCCTAGGGTTAAAAGGGTTCAGGGTTTAGGGTGTAGGGTGCAGGGTGTAGGGTACGCCTTAACTAAGGAACATGCCTGACATCATAAGAAGGATCCCTTGTAATTTAAGGTCTGTTCCTGAATTAAGGGGTATTGGGCTCTCTGGGAAGGGGGGTGGTCGGTTTCACAGAAGGGAGGTTACATGGTCCCTTAGTCTGATCCCTGACCTTCTTTAAAGAGTTCTGAAGTACGGGCCTCTGAATTTAGTAGGTTATATAAGGGGGACATAAGGGTTCCCTGTTTAAGAGCCCAGTGTAAGGGACCATGCAAAAAAAACAAAACTAAGAGATTTTCTGGCATCACCACGTACAACTTCTGGGCAATCTCGTTTCTTGTGGGTGGATTTAGACGTAGAGCAAAAAGCCAAAGCCTGCGATGCACTTGCAGACATTTGCAGACGAGCCGTCAGCCCTATCATGCCCCAGCAGAACCCACAACACCAGAAATCCGAAACCCTATACTATAATCAAAGCCCTGTGCTTTTCTCCCACAACCTTGTACTACTTTGTTTCAAACAATCCCCAAACCCTAAACCCTAAACCCTAAACCCTAAACCCTAAACCCTAAACCCTAAACCCTAAACCCTAAACCCTAAACCCTAAACCCTAAACCCTAAACCCTAAACCCTAAACCCTAAACCCTAAACCCTAAACCCTAAACCCTAACCTAAACCCTAAACCCTAAACCCTAAACCCTAAACCCTAAACCCTAAACCCTAAACCCTAAACCCTAAACCCTAAACCCTAAACCCTAAACCCTAAACCCTAAACCCTTCCTTTCTCCTTCAGTCAGCACGTGCAGGACCCAGCGGCCCTCGATGCTTCGATCATCCAAGCGTGCCTCGAAGCCTGGCCTGCCTGAGCACAGGCAGGCTAAAGGGTTAGGGTTTAGGGTTTAGGGTTTAGGGTTTAGGGTTTAGGGTTTAGGGTTTAGGGATTAGGTGGTTTGAAGTTTTAGGGTCTCGGGTTTCGGGTATAGGTGGTTTAAAGTTTAGGGGTCTTGCTCGCTGAGAGGCACGACCCTGGCGCAGAACTGGTGTGTCAGCGCGCTCGGCATCCGCAACATGCAGCTGTCACGCTGTGCGTCAAGGGCGCATGTCATTGAGCAGCGAGTGCCATCGTAGTGGTTCAAGTTTGCGGCAAAAGGCGTTACCATGCTAACTAGCCTTCCTGGTTTCCTAAACCCTCAACCCGAAACTGGTTGCGGTTGGCAGCCGGCTTTCGAAAGATGGCGCCAAGTTCTGTTCAGATCGGGCATACTAGGATGCCCAGTAGTACCCTTATTCCCTTTTTGGGGGGTTTAGGTTCCCTTATGACCCCTTTAAGCAAACAAGGGCACCCTTTTAAGCCTTGGTTACTGGGCAGCCTGGCATAAAACGGCTCGGACAGCAGGGCCTTTTGAGCGACAGTGCTGTGGGGGGCGGCAGTCGCAAAAAGGGCCGAGGGTGCTTCCGGGCTTGCTCCGCAGCTTTCCAGTTCAGGGCTGAGGGTTTAGGGTTCAGGGTTCAGGGTTAGGGTTTAGGGTTTAGGGTTCAGAGGTCAGGGTTTAGGGTTAGGGTTTAGGGGTTAGGGTTGAGGGTTTAGGGTTGAGGGTTGAGGGTTCAGGGTTCAGGATTCAGGGTTCAGGGTTCAGGGTTTAGGGTTTAGGGCTTAGGCTAAACCCTAAACCCTAAACCCTAAACCCTAAACCCTGAACCCTGAACCCTGAACCCTGAACCCTGAACCCTGAACCCTGAACCCTGAACCCTGAACCCTGAACCCTCGAACATGGACGCACAGTAATGGAGAAGCGAGGAGGGTTGGGTGAGGGGGGTTGGGACTAGGGATTGGAGCTCAAAGCGCTTACACACAGAACTTTGTCTTCGCTCCTAAACCCGAAACCCGAAACCCCAAACCCTAAACCCCAAACCCTAAACCCTGAACCCTAAACCCTAAACCCTAAATCCGAGGTAGCTCACGAAGGCGCCGAGCTGTTTTTCGAGGAGGCCGCGAGGGGTTTTTCAGGGTCGTGGGCAGGATTGGGGTTTCGGGCTTGGGGTTCAACTTGGTTTTGGGGTTCAGGGTTTAGGCTTTAGGGTTTAGGGTTTAGGGTTTCGGGTTTAGGGTTTAGGGTTTAGGGTTCAAGGTTCAGGGTTGGGGCAGAAGAAGGGAATCCTACTTCCAGGATCGGGGGACTTGGCAAGTAGTAAGCTGGGTTTAGAATTAGCTTGGTTTTGGGGTTCAGGGTTGGGGGCAGAAGAAGGGAATCCTACTTCCAGGATCGGGGGACTTGGCAAGTAGCTAGGTTTAGAATTTGGGGATTGGGTCCAACGTCGCGTGAAAAGTGCCCTAACAGGGACCCTAATCGAGGTTATCCTACTGAACAACTAGTGCCGACATTGTCCTACATCCGCAAATCCTCTCGGAAGAAGACCCTTAGATCCTTCTACACTATGGAACACAACCTGTTCGGGTTCAGGGTTTAGGGCCACAAACCCAAAGAGCCCAATACCCCTTAGTTAAGGACTTTTGCTTAACACATATAAAGGATCCCTGCATTAATCCCTTTTTCCGGAAAACCCATATCCGGAAGCAGCCCGGATTATTGTACCCCTTAATTATGAGGATCCCTATTCAGGACTGGTAGTATAAGGGGGGTGCATCCCCAAGTAGTGCTTATATCCTGAAGCAGCCCCAATACGTGGAGTTGGCCTGTGGCAGCGACAGAGGGCGCTCTCCCTCCACCACCCCACGTTCCAAGCCTCTCAAGCCCACCAAACCGTTGAGGAGGTTTAGGGTTCAGGGTTCAGGGTAGGGTTTAGGGTTTAGGGTTTAGGGTTTAGGGTTTAGGGTTTAGGGTTTAGGGTTTAGGGTTTAGGGTTTAGGGTTTAGGGTTTAGGGTTTAGGGTTTAGGGTTTAGGTTAGGGTTTAGGGTTTAGGGTTTAGGGTTTAGGGTTTAGGGTTTAGGGTTTAGGGTTTAGGGTTTAGGGTTTAGGGTTTAGGGTTTAGGGTTTAGAAAAGTGGCCAGGCAGGGCCGGGTTTAGGGCTTGAGGTTTTCTTGGGGTTTAGGGGTTTTAGGCTCTTTTGAGGGTTTCATTCGGGGCCTGTAGGACTTTAGGGTTTAGGGGCTTTAGGAGTTTCAGGGGCTGTTTAGAGGGGTTAAAGCCCGCAGCCTCAGACCCTCTGAGGCCTGCTCGCTGCCGGTCAACACCAACTTCAACACCCCGGAGCACGAGAGGCGCGGGAAAATCGAGGGGTGGGGTTGAGGGGTGGGGGGGGGGGGGGAGATTTTATTTCTTCGGGGGGGCACCCTGTCGCAAGGGTTTTGGGGTTTAGGGTTTAGGGTGTAGGGTTCTGGGTTTAGGGTTTAGGGCACTAAATCCCTAAACCCTACCTATCCCCCGTTCCATAAAAAACTGTCCTATTGAAGAGGCCGGAAAAATCCAGCCGCGCAAAAAATCCGTCCGCTTTAATGATGGTCAGAAACCTATTTCCTGGTGGAAACCAGACACCCACACAATTCTGCAGAAAAAGTGGCCTTTTCAGAAAAAGTGTCCTCTTGTTGGGTTTGCGTTGGGTTTTGGGTACGCTTTTTTCCCAACATGTTCCCAACATTTTTCCAACAAAGTACGGATTCGGTACGGTTTACGTTTTTTGGGCTACCCCCCAAAAACCCAACAAAACCCAACATTATGTTGGAAAAACGTTGGGTTCAGAGTACGCTTTTTTGTGTCCTGCTCAGGTCACCTATTCTTTGGTGCACAAGACTCTGCACAGGGCTCGGGAAGGTTCCCCTGAACTCCGAAAATCCAGCCGCTTTGATCGTATTCCCCGATCCCAATAGAACACCAACACCTCGCTTTTGCACGCAAAAAACCAGAAAAAACCATAAGGACAGAAATTTCTGTCCGCCAGGATTAACAGGTAAACCCTAAACCCTAAACCCTAAACCCTAAACCCTAAACCCTAAACCCTAAACCCTAAACCCTAAACCCTAAACCCTAAACCCTAAACCCACAGAAGAAGAGCAGAGAAGAGTGGACCAAGAGCACCCAACAAGAGCAAAAAGTGCCAACTGGGGCTCTGGAGCCTTCTCGGTGCGCCTTTGGCCTTCGACCCGAATCCCCGTAGCGCTTTCAGCAACTGCAAGGTTCTTGGGTTGTGGGGTTTAGGGGTTTAGGGGCTTAGGGTTTTTAAGGTTTTTTTTGGGGGGTTTTGAGGCTTTAGGGTTTCGTTTCTTTTTTTCCTTTGTTTGGGGGGGGAGGGGGGGGGGGCTTAGGTTAGTAAGTTTGTTGGGGATTTAGGGTTTTTAGGCCATCGGGTTTGCAACGTAGGGCTCAGGGCTCAGGGCACTGAGTCTTGTGTGTTGGGGCGAGAAGATAGATAGATACACTTAAGGGTCTACAAAGGGTCTCTAAAGAGTATATAAGACCCGCATTCCGGGTCCCAGAACTCAACTCAGGGTTCAGGGCTTAGGGTTTATTAGGCTTGCCTGAACCTTAAACCCTCACCCCACAGCCCCACCCAAATGAGAACCTAGGCCTTTAGCACCCTAATGAAGCCCCTAAGAATTGAAATGCGGGTTTAGGGTTTCGGGTTGAGGTTTTAGGGTTGAGGGTTGAGGGATGAGAGTTTAAGGTTCAGGAGTTAAGGGAGGGCGGTTGGGGGGCTAAGCACCTAGTGAACCTTGGGGGTGCTTAGGGAGCCTTATTAGGGAGTAGAACCTTGGGTTACATACCCCCCTTGAACCCCCCCTCCCTTAAGAACCCTGAACCCTAAACCCCAAACCCTAAACCCTAAACCCTAAATCCTAAACCCTAAACCCTAAACCCTAAACCCTAAATTACTAAACCCCTCTTCTGGCCTGTCAGGTTCGAGCGCTTGCGCGAGCCTCGGCCCGAATGTGAGCGCGTCGTGTTGGGCAACGCCATCATGTCGATTCTTGGCTGCGAGATTCCTGGGTTTCCCTACTACCCCCTTTCTGTTAGGGTTTAGGGTTTAGGGTTTAGGGTTTAGGGTTTAGGGTTTAGGGTTTAGGGTTTAGGGTTTAGGGTTTAGGGTTTAGGGTTTAGGGTTTAGGGTTATGCCCACTTTGTTTCCCGAAAGTATGCCCTTCAAGGGATGAGTAGGTTAAGCTGAGGTTCGGTAGGCTTCTAGGACGCCCCAGTACTACAACTTTTCCACCCAATTTGCACAGGGGTTAGGTTCGGCTGTTCGGTTCGCAGATCATCTCCAACAGGGGCACCGTTTCAAGTACCATGCTGGGCAACCCGAAACCCTAAACCTTAAACCCTAAACCGTGTAGGGGTCAGGGCTGTTGAATGCAGGGGAGGTTGGAGGGGTTCTTCCGCGGAGTAGAGGTCTTAGGGTTTACGGTCCCGCCCAGCCTAAAACCCTGCAGTCCTCGAACGAGCTCTATTCTTGTTTCGAATGTTGGGTTCAGGGCTTAGGGTTTAGGGTTGGGGGTTCAGGAGGAATCCCAAACCTCTCTGAACCCTTGCAATAAACGCCACCGTACAAGAGAAAAATTAGCAAGATTGCGCAGACCCACCCCGCCCCCCCCCCAAAGCAAAACCCTAAACCCAAAACCCAAAACCCTAAACCCCAAACCCTAAACCCCAAACCCTACACCCCAAACCCTAAACCCCAAACCCCAAACCCTAAACCCTAAAACCCTAAATCCAAGAACTTCCAAGGCCCTTTGTCACCCCGCAAGCCCAGGATTTTCCCGAACTTCGCTTCGAGGGTGATGCACCTCGGAGCTGGTTTTAGGGTTGAGGGTTGAAGGTTGAAGGTTGAGGGTTGAGGGTTTACGGGGTTTAAGGGGGCTTAAGGAGGTTTAAGGGGGTGTACGGGGGTGTAAGGGGGTTTAAGAGGGCTTAG